CGCAATCCGCTGGTGGAGGCAGAGGAAGAGGGAGAGACCAAGTGGATAAGAACTTGGCTTCGCGGGGCATTTTCCATTGTCGTCGGTTGGCACAGAGAGAAACGACTGGCGTTCTCGGCCAATTGGCGTTTCCAGCGCCAAATAAGATTGATTATTTGTGGCAACGGTTCGTTCAAACAATTACATAGCCTTAGCTATCGCTTCGCCTGGAATTGCTACCAGGTGGAAACATTGCTAATTCAGCTCTTAAGCTGCCATTGAATATATCAATCATCGAAACTCCTACTTGCAATATTTCCAGAACATCCGGTATGGAAAAAGTAGTACAAAAATTTAAACTAATTATTTGAGATCAGTGCACGATGGCACATAAAAACTTTGCTTGAGGTCCTTGATCCCTTGTCGCGGGATTTGCATGGAAACGTTTAACCATTCGGGAATGTATTGATATTGCCCTCAGGAGATTTTACGAAAATATTGTCTGTAATTTCTTGATGAACACTAGATAAATGCTTACCTGAGATAGTCAACATTGTGGCTAGACGAACATACATATATACACTGCAACCGAGGGATTTTCGCGACAAGTACTGGACATTAGGAACTGAAAGCTGCCAGCTAACGAGAGATTATGACGAATTCTATTGCCGGATAATTTGTGTAACTAAGGAACATCGAAAGGAGAACTGATGGAAAGAATGTTTCTTAATTAAGAAAATTAGTTACAGGCTCAGTGAACGAGCTATTCTTGCTGCGAATAAGTCGTTGCTTGAGCTGGTCTGCTCTTTGACCAGACTGCCAGGTAACTTGCTCACTTTGGTGAACACCACTAGTGTTATTCAATCCAGCATTCAAAGTGACAACTGTTTAGCTGAGGGAGAGCGGGAGACCAGGGCTCAAATCGTAACATCCGTGCACGGATCGTAAACCATACGAAAGAAAATTACGTGATACGTCAGGCAATATAAGCTGAATGAGACAAAGACTACGTTCACGTACGTCATAATCTGAAAAATTTGTTTTTACGTGACGAGTAATACGATATCGTATGGGACGATTCGAACTGAGGTTTAGAGTTGTGGTCGAGTTAGAGTAGTTGGGGAGGTAGGCATTACCTTTGCGAGTGTTTGTGTATTGAGCTCAATGAGTCCGTATGGTTTATAGTGCACATCAAGTCAGCCGCGCACTTCGTATGCCTGATATGCGAGAGAGAAAGAGAGAGAGATATGCGGGCAGGCAGATGAAGCGGTAGCGCAAGATGTGACCGTTTCACCGTGTATTCATTGTGGGACTCCATTGGAGTAGTCATGCTCTAGCTGCCTTAGCCTGCTGGGCAATGAGCTGGGATTTATCCAGGGATGCATTCGTGCAGAGCTCCGGTGTGGTTTGTAAGCAGTAGCTTAATACCATTCCAAAAATTACTCCGGGAGTGGAGTGTGGGTGATGCTCAAAGCACAGTGTGATAGCCAAGCTGGGTTAGCGTTGACCATAGCTGAAAATGCCAGCGACTTATCACTTCACTAAGTTCAGCGAAGAGATATTTGAGAATTGCATAAAAAATGCATACCCATTTAAACACGAGCGAAGTACCTTTAAAAACAAGTGCGTCTGTGTGTCCGCCGTTCTTTGTTTAAGCGGGAAATGTATAAGTCGCTTAAACAATAACATATGCGTCGATAAACACCGTTGTGGAAGAAGACGAATCAGTTAATTATCTAACGGAATTTTTGAACTCGATTGATCTTCCAGGGATGACCCCACATACTGAATTGAAAATAGGTGTGCCAATTATCACGTTATATTAATCAGCAAAAACTCCGCAACGGTACGCGACTCGCAGTTAAGAAATTGATGAAGAACGTTGTGTAAGTAAAGATTTTTACGTGGCCTTTCAAAGGTGAAGAATTCCCATGGTTCCGACCGATACACCATTTCAATTTTAAAGAATACAATTCCCAATTCGATTGACATTCGGAATCACAATCACTAATGCTCAAGGTTATCCTTTGGAAAAGTGTGGTTTAGAGTGAGATGCGGATTGGTTCTTAGATGTTGCGTGCTCCCGTGTCGGCAAACCAGATATCCTTGATATCAATGCAGAGAATGGAAATACGACAAATATTGTGTGCACACAAGTACTTATTACAAAATCAAACTCATATGAAACGTATGCTTTGTTTCGTTTATAATTTATCATCCATGTAACTGGAATTCCACAGCAGTGGCAGGGTATAGCTAGTTAAAAATAAAATCTGATTAATTTGTCTAGTTTGTCCGAGTTTAAAACCAAACACCAGTTATAGTAATTATTTTGTGTTTTACGCTTATAAAAAACACATAATATAAAAAAATTATAATTATTGTTATTAGTAATACATAAACTGGGAACATTTACAAACCTGGTTTGTAAAACGTTTGTTGGTATATATCTTAATGAAAATGCACACCAAATTGCTTAGATTGATGAGGAAGCCCGACTTAGCCATACCAGATTAACTTGCTTTGTGTGCACAGGGGAATTCCAGCATAACTCAATGAATCACCAAACCTACTTGATCAAATTAAGAGTTAATGATTAAAAATTAATTTTTTAATCGCGGTTACGATTAACTGTTTAGCCAGATTAAAATTAATCATGATTAACTGTAATCAGTTTGAATTTAATGGAATTAACTAATTATAACATCAATCGATTAATGCCATCATTGATTTCACATACATATCACTATACCAAGTTTCAGTTCTCTCCCACAAATACTTCCAGAGATATGTATGTAATATGAAAATTCCAATTTGTATGGGAGGGGCCTTGAGTTATCGGACTTACTTTCAGTCTAAGACCATCCTTCCGAAATCCGTAGTAAGTGTACTAAATTTCGTTGTGATCAGAAAACCGGTTAAGGAAGTAGCCTATTTTTCAAACCGGGTCATAAACCATCTTTGAACAAAATTTCATTTTCAAACAGGTGGCAATTCTTAAAAAAGTAGCCTATTTTCCAGTCTAGGTCATAAGCTATCTGTGTGCAAACTTTCATGCAAATCAGTTCGGTCATTTACGCGTATTAATTTAATTAAACTTTCCTAATACGTGATAACTCTTAAAATAGTAGCCTATTTTCCAACATAGGTCATAAGCTATCTCTGTGCGAAATGTAATGCAAATCTGTTCAGTCGTTTCCGCGTATTAATGTAATTAAAACTTTTTTAACAGGTGGCAACTCTTCCAAAAGATTAGCCTATTTTTCACTGTAGGTCATAAGCTATCTGCTTGCAAAATTTCATGCAAATCCATTCAGTCGTTCCCGCATATTAAATAAATTTAACTTTTTCAACAGGTGGCAACTCTTAAAAAATAGCCTATTAACCAATCTGGCCCATAAGCTATCTGCGTACCAAATTTCATGCACGTCCGTTCAGTCGTTTCCGCGTGATGATTTCCCAAACATCCAAACATACAAACTTTCACATTTATAATATTAGTAAGATAAGATCAACAGTGTAATTTTTCAAGTTCTTTTCCATTCTGAACTTTCAGCAATTACTAAATTGTTCTCATTTGTTTATACACATATTAATTATACATTTAAGATAAACATAATACCCTCTACAGCTGCGTGCCATTGAAAATACTGAAAATACAACAAATATTGTCGGAATAGGTCTTTGCGTCAATGGCTCGTTGAAAACGCTAAATACATAAAATAAATTTTGTCTAAAATACGGCCACGAGTTTGGGTACCAAATTTGATATACACATTGCGCCTGACCTTCTTAAATACTGTCTTGAAATTTTTTGAAATCGGACAAAAACCACGCCCTCTAGAAGTATCGCTAACATTGAGTTTTAAGAAATTATCGTTTTTACTTATAACTCTTTAAGTTTAACAATTACATTCAACAATTTTTATTGAGTTCGAGGCCGTTTTTTAATGAAAACTTATTGTGGAAAAGCAACAATAATTTGAAAAAATGGTAGAAGTGATAGCTATTTCGGAAATCACCACATTTCCTCATCAGACTTCTTTCAGTAGGATTCGAACCGACGATCCTTGTTAATTCTTATTACTTATTTCCACTATTTTCATTTGCTAAGCCAACTACAATCAAGCGCAGCTATTCCGCTGCAATTCACTTGATCATGTGGTTGTTGGTTTTGTTGGTTTTTGTTTATATTTCTATTATTAGAATGTTTAACGTTTAGGTGTGCTCGTCCTTAAGTTATTTGTTTTTGTTATTTTGTGGCCTTATAACAATTATATTCAACAATTTTTATTGAGCTCAAGGCCGTTTTTTAATGAAAACTTATTGTGGAAAAGGAACATTAATTTGAAAAAATGCTAGAAGTGATAGCTATTTCGGAAATCATCACATTTCCTCGTCAGACTTCTTTCAGTAGGATTGGAACCGACGATCCCACTGACTCAGCCAGTTGCCTACGCACTATGCTAAGTTCGCCTTGTTAATTCTTGTTGCTTATTTCTACTTTAAGGATTTAAAAAAAAAAATGAATAACGCAAGAATTTAATGTTTCCTCAATAGATTTCAAACAATTTGAAGTTATTTGTGTGCGTTCAATTTAAAAATTTACGCTTTTTTAGCGTTGAATCGCACGGTTCCGGAGATTTGCCTATAGCTGTCGGATTCTGCAACTACTATTCCATGTGTATAGACGAACATATTTTGGTTTCCCTATAAGGTTAGCATTACAGTCCAAATGTTTATTACGTTCTCGAATTCAGGATTTCCGACTTAGGCGGTTATTGCTTATGACCACAGATGATGCAATAGTTTTTAAATGAAAGTAGTTTTATGGTGTGGGAGCTTTTAAATTGTATTAGTTCCTCAATGAATAGTGTACCTATTTTTGCAGAAAGTTGAATTAGGAAAGCAAATGAGTTAGGTCGTTTATATATGCATTAATTTTTCAGTAAGCTATTCACATTTTTTTACACCTTACAAAAAGGAATTTAATTTCACATTCGGTATCTATCACTATTTAGAAAGTCGCAGCAATTTTCCAGAGACGCACAGACGACGCCATCAAATAATTCATCATCACTGAAGCGACAAAAGTCAACATCTTTATATCACACTTGCCAGAACAGTGTTAATCAAGCGGATGTCAGAATAATTCGGCGTAAATCAGGTGAGTAAAGCTGAAGTACAATTGCCAAAGGATATCTGAACTAAATTGTATTTGTTAAAATATTTGTAATTTGTGTCCAAACGAAGATTTTTTATAACGTTGATAACATGACATACCCGTACGCAATGAATAAAAGCCCCTAGTGTGCATCAAACGATAGTCGCCGTGTGCTGTACGGGAGCTTTTTCTACGACCCCTGGCGCTGCTCTTGATGCTGTGCTTCACTTACCATCTCTTTGCACCTTTAAACGTGAGGAGGCCACCTGTAGGCATAAAAGACATGTACATATATGTATGTAAGTTGGTAAGATACTGAGCGGGGCGAGGCGGAAGTTGCTGGGGGAAGAGTTCTAGACATAATTCCAACACTGAGCCCGGTCTCACATACTGTCGAACCTTTACTGATGGCTCCAACGCTGACACGGGTCAGGATTAGAGATGGGTAGTGGGGGGTTGAAATTCGATTTTTTCCCAATTTCGGACATTGCCCTACCATTCGATTATTCGATTCGAACTTCGGTGGTGCAAATTCGATTTAATTCGAATTATCCAAAAAATTTTTAAATTTAAACTTCTTAATTGAGTTCGGAGATGTTTGCGTTAAATATTTAATAATAATATTTAATTGAAATCTGTATCGTTCGTTCAATAAAAAAAAAAAAATTTGGTGTCAAATTCAAATAATCGCTTCCGCAGATGTTTACGTTAAATATTTACCACCAAGTCATAAAATCTGTATCGTTCGTTCGATTTTCAAAAAGGAGGTAGGTGTTAAATGAAAGGGCTTGCCCTGTAGATGAGTAATATGGTTTTAGTTTTGTGCCATATGTAAGAAAATCAAAATCAAATTATTTAATAAGTTAAATAAATTACCCCAATATAGGTATCAATCGATGGTTTTGAATAAGCTTTGTTTTTTAATTACATTTAGGAGGGCTGCCACCTGTTTGAAAAATCGAATATAGTTAAAAAGTGTTGTGCTTAAAATACTATTCAACAATTAAAATATTTTTGAGGTGCTTGAAGAGAGTGGCCACCTGTCTAAAAATTAAACTCAAACTACACTGTGGGACAGCCGAAACCAGCCCGGACTTTGTTAACATTCTCTGAAAGTATACCCATCCAGTAATAAAACACCCGGTGTATTTGCAAAAGTTAGCTCGTATTTTTATTTCATGGCCTACTAAAGCTTTCATGTCTCGGTTAAAATAAATGTCTGAGCGAAATCAAAGTTTAAAACATATATAATAAAATTTCATGGGAAATACTTTTGCAGAACATTTTAACCCATTCGCTCGCGCCTAAAAGGCTCATTTTGACCCTTACTTCAAGAAATCCCGCAAAAAGCAAATTTGGAAGGTCGTTAGAGGATTGATATATTCTAGAAAATTATTCTCCGGGAAATTTTACTAGGGGTCTTCTCAGGTAAAAGCTTCATGCCACCAACGTAAAAGCCTCTAAACATTTAAAATAAAAATAAAACTAGTTTTTTACAAACAAAATTTTTAAATTTGAGTTTGGAATAACAGTGCCTTCTAGGCACAGATTTTTTATCAAGATGCAGCAGTTCGAAAATCATGTTTTTTTTTACTTGCATCTTAAGACAAATGGAGTGCCACACACACAGTGATGACAAATTTTGTCAGAGAAAAGAAAGTTGAAGAGTTGATTTTTTTGGAAATAAAGATGAGATTCGATTTTTTCTAGAAAAATTCCATTTTATCCGAATTTTAGCAACACAAAGTTCAATTTCAAAAATTCGCCATTTTAGAGCTAAACTTCGATTAAAATTCGAATATCGAATTTACCCATCCCTAGTCAGGATGTGGTGTCTATATCAGGGGCGGAAAGCAATAATTATTTTTAAAATTACAAAAAAATTAAATCAGCAAGTTGTAATCGCCGTAAAACGATTTTTAAATATACTCACGTATTTACGTTCGTACGTCCCAATGGAATATACAATGATTTTTATTTTTCGATTTTAATCAATAAAGATTAAAAAAAAAAATAATAATTAATATTTGAGTTTTATTTTTTCGCTCAAAGGAAATTATGATTACTCGATTTTTCATTTTTCGCTCAAAGATAATAATTATTATTGAGTTTTATGTTGCCACTTAAGCATAATGCTCTTTCAAACAACTCAAAAGCTATACCAGCATGATATTGGACATATCCTTTTCAGTGGTACCGACACCCTAATAAAAGGAATAAGTCCCAAACTTTTCAGGTCAAAATTTTAGTAAGTTGCGTCTACATGACCTTTTCAACTTTATAAATAGTTATTATTCTTAAGTGAAAAAATAAAACTCAAAAATTATGATTTTCTCCGAGCGAAAAAATAAAAATCATAAAATAATCATTATTTGTGATCGAAAAAATAAAAATCAAATAATAACACAGGTTTACAAAAAACAAAAAGTGTATGCATATTAAACCAAACCTATATATCCCTATGTTATTCGACATGTTGAATGCGAATCCGAGGTCCGTTAGCCTCCATCACGTCAGGTTCGTGGTCATTTGAAGGTAAAGTAGGGAAAAATTCATTGAATAAACCTGAAAATTCAATAAAATTCATCGGAATTCGACCTTGGGATGACCTGGGCATGACTTCCAAATGACCTTGAGTAATCAAGGGACCTCCATACTCGGTTTCAGTGACAACAAAAACAATTTTTTTTTTTATTTTTATTGAATACATTTTATGTCCTATTTGACCTTCAAATGACCTCGAAGCTGACATTATGGAGGTTAACGGACCTCGGATTCGAGTTCAGCGAATGTAAAACCTTATGTATATGAATTTTCAGGTTTATTCAATGAATTTTTCCCTACTTGACCTTCAACTGACCACGAACCTGACGTGGTGGAGACTAAAGGACTTCGGATTCGCATTCAGCGTGTCGAATAACATAGGGATATATAGGTTTGGTTTAATATGCATAACCTTTTTATTTTGTAAACCTGTGTAATTATTTCCGTTGAGCGATAAAATAAAACTCAATAATAATTATTATTTTAAAGCGAAAAATATAAAAATACTAAAATAATGATTAAATGCTGATTTTAATTATTTTACTCATAATGATTACCGTCCCTGGTATATATCAATGAGCTTCACTTTACAAGCCGAATACAGCAATCCTCAAGGCTACGGACTACTTGGTGGAAAATATGTGGAGATGTAGAAGTTTAAGCGTTCGTAGTGACAGCCAAGCTGCATGAGAGCATTGGGCAGCCCTCTAACTACTTCTAGACTGGTTCGGCAATGCAAATCTCGACTAAATTATGTTGGAAAACATAGCGAATTTGTCCCACTCTGAGTGAGGTCACTCGGGAGCACCTGACCATTTGACCAGAGAGGGATCAGACCAGGTATTCCTCGGTCCGAATCCAGTTAAAGCACTCCCACCTGCAGCCATCGAAGCCACCCTCAATGACTGGGAGGCTTCGAGCGGATGCAGGGTCGTGCAACTGAGGTCAGGGACCCAAAATAACCGTTATCCCAATTTTCAAAAATAAAAAAGTCAAGGACAAAACATTGTTGTAGACAAGATTTTTCAAAGTTATTGAGGTCCTCAGGACATTCTCTATAAGAATCCTTTGTGCCCTTAATTTTCCTTTTTGAAAAAAGTCCAATATTATTATATTATTTATTATTTCAGTCAAATAAAAAATTGGCGAAAAAATCCCGGCTAAAAACGGCTAAACTGTTTCAACTAAATTTTACATGTTTTATTTAAATAAATTAAGAAATTTCCGTTGGGATTCTCAATATAACATTCCACCTTATACGATCCGATTAAAACTTATCTTCCTACACTTTCCAGCCGCAGATAAATGCTTGGTACAATTTACTTAAAAATTAATTTAAAATTTAAATTTAAAAATTTAAATTACTAACAGGCTCAATTTCCAGTCCGCTTCTTCTTGGCGAAGTTAGCCCTAATGTTCCTCCCGGGTATCAAGACACTTTTGCCCTTATTTCTGAAAGCTTGTAAAACTAATTTTGAATTGCACGACCCACTCCGTTGCTTATGCCAGGATTTTAACTCTCATTCCAGCACGTTTGATATATCAGATCCGCTTTTCAGCATTAAGAAATCGATACTGTCCTCTCTCAATAAATGAATCATTAAAACAAAGACATAAAATCGGCTGATGAATTTAGTTCTGTAGCTGAACAGTTTTAGATCTCGACACTTAACAAACTACTGCCTATCGTGACTTAGCGCAAAAATTGAAAATACTGGTTCCGTACGTCATGCGGACTGCGCCCCTCGTGCGGATGGGCGGGAATTAAGGGTAAAAACCGTTGGGATATTATATTATAAATCACAAGTAGAAAGACTAGTTCTTGGAGAGAAGTTGCAAGTTAAAGCTGGAAAAAATTTTGCAATTAGGAAAAACATATGATTGTGGCACATGGTTGGATTTTTTGTCGACGGTAATTTGAATAAACAAGTTTGGTAGATTTACAAACTTGAGCGATTTTAAAAGGAAACTGTAAGTTGATACTTGTTTACTCAATAAATTTAGTTAATTCCAATGATTTGAAAGGTACTCGGCTGCAAAAAAAAACTGTATTCGTAATCCGAATACAATCTCAACCAGAGTCGATATAGGAAACCCAACAGTTACGAACAAACCTATTGTCTTCCCAGAGTTTTGCTTTACATAGAAATTTGTACTGCTCGGTTTTGGAATTTAAATAAGTTCTCAGCAAAAAAATTAAAAAAAGTACATATGAATATATCAATTTTTCCCTTACCTCAAACCTTTGAGCGTGGGCAACAATGACGTTTTTTAGTTAAGGCAGAATTGAATATGCGCTATCTGGGAAGACAATACCTGTAATATTTATTCTATGTGTTGGCACTATATCCAAACACAAACGCGTGTTAAGCAAACAATTTGTTATTTTCTAAGTTTGGGAATAAAACTTCACACTTAAATTTAAGACATTCATAACAAACATTTGTTGAAGA